CATCTTTTGTTTCGTCAAAGTCATCGTTTTATATACTCCATTTACGAAAGATAAACACAAAGATAATACAAAATTCATTTTTTAATCATTTTTACGTTGTGTATTTGAACATTTCGTCTAGATTTTGTATGGATTTCTGTTCGAGTAGGTTTGTTCAGTTTTTCGTTTTGCTTTCTCTACGAACCACCAATCATAGATTTGTTGTATACAGGTAAGCAAAACAACATAAAAGAAAACGAAAATCTTTAGATTTTCTGAATAGACAGAGGTACTACTTCAATAAGAAGTGGCTTGAATATTTTGCAACTGAAATTTTGTTCACTACATAGTTTCCTCTTGTCCACAAGATTAATATACAGTATTGGGCAAGTCGATACTGCCATATACAATAGGATCCCCGTATATTCGCGATAACAGATCCGTTGAAACGAAGCAAAACTACATTAATTTAGCATGTAGACCTTAGAAGTCCTCAGCGAATTGCATATACTTACTCCCGGTTCATCATCGAGATCCGTTCTAACGTGATTCTGCCGTATAATAATGGAGTTTTCGATACAACGGACGATAGTCGCGATATAACGATAATTTATTTTAACAAAAATTATCCAAAATTCTTTTTTTGTGACGATCCGTTATATTTGGGTTTTATTTATTATATTTTTTAAAATATAACTTATTTCGCTTCAATATATAGATATTAAGTTAATAAAACGTATCTACAATTCAATACACATTTAACAGATTTATCAATATCTATTAGAGCTTAAATAATTGTAGCAGGAATTTTATAGTAGTATAAAAACATGTCGAAGTTATATCCGTTGCAATTGAGTACTCGAGTCACTTGGCTTCGAGTGCCAGAATATTCAAGGGTATTAATCGTTTCTAGAACATGGACTGAGAACAGTGCAATTTCTCCTTTTCTGATTCTGTGTTGATACAGATTTGTTTCAAGCAACTGCAGTCCCTTTCGTAGATCTTCGGATGAGTGGAGTGACAAATTTAAAATTAAAACGAAATTGTTTTACGAATTTTTACTTCAATGGATTGTTTTGTATAGGAATGTTAATAAAGGAATAATTAAAAAATTTAGATTATTATTTGAATATGTTAAACTAAAAATCAGATGTATTAAAGATATTGATTTTGTAAAGTTATTATTCTGCTATTGAAGGCCACCAATGAAGTTTTCCGTTACGTGACTACAATACAAAAGTCAATCGTTTTCGTAATATCAAAAATATTATTTTGATATTACGAAAACTATTCTATTATTCTACTATTCAAAAATATTTCTCTTTTAAAGAAATCTGAATTTGGTTTATTTTAGGCTGCGGATATTAAAGATACACTAGTCAATTGACGGATATAAATGTTAATCGAAACAAAGTTATTTTGTTGGACTAATTCTCGATTTTTTAAAAAAATTTTTAATGTTTCTAATACTGAATAAGTCAGTAATAATAAATCAGTAAAATGATGTTTAAAGTGCAAAACTCAAAATTGACTTTATTGTTTACTCATTAAATTAGAAGACAAACTAGGGCCCAATCTTGCCGGCAAACCTATTTGACACATCAGTTATGACTGATCGAACTCGGCCTACTTTTACTGTATATGAAATAAATGAAATTTTTCTGACCCACCTAATAAGCTTGCTTCCGTTTGACATGCCAATCGAAAAGATTCGAAACAATTCTGTTAAATAGTTTATAATTACAGATTTCGTTGGTTTTTTTTAAACTAAGCATTGTAAAGTTTTGTGTTATAACTTAATATGGTAGCAGCGTATTTTTAGCTACGTATTTTCGAAGTTAAATCAGTAAAAGTTTATAGGTTTGCACAATAAGCTAAATTTTTTGATTAACCGATTTTTTAATAATTGTTAATAAAGAGTAACCAGTCAACGCGATTAATTCAAAATAATACTATGTGCGAGAGATATATTCAGAATCTGAAATGAAGTATTTTTGTAACTGAACCGGATAATTTTCTTTGTTTATACAACAGAAAATAAAATGCCCTCTAGTGGAGTCGACCTTTTTCAGAGACTGCTACGCCGCCTCATTATTCAAACGTTAAAAATTGTAAAAAAAAGTCTAAGCATTTTTTCATTTTTACAATTATTTGTCCTGGAAACTTATTGTCAAATGACGTTTTGTATTAAATAGTTTACGAACACCGGTAAGGACTGCTATATGAACGATAAAATGTAATCCCATACAGAGGTACAATTATTTTTATCATGTGTTACAGCTTGGTAGAAAGATTTACGTGAACTTTTTGCAGTTTCATATTATTGTGACTTGTGGTGCACTTTGTGAACAAGTTTGCAGTATCAGAGTGATGCACTTTAATTTCAAACACAGTAGTGCAGTAAATAACATTTATGACATGTGGCACATTATGCAGTAGAGAAAACGTAAATTTAGTAGTTTTGTTTTATAACGTATAGTTGAATAACTTGATAGAAATTTTGTAAAATGTTATTACTTCAATATCAATACGGAATAGGTATTTTTCTGTTAACGGGACACCAGTCGATATGTACAGCAACGGGTAAGATCCAAGCTCTGAATGAATGGTTTCGCATCCCTCAGAATTATAAGAGCAAAAAAGTCAAAGGAAGCATTCCTGTACATGCCACCCTTCGCAGTATACGAAATATATTGGTTTCCAAAAGTGCGCTTTGCTGCGAGCAATAGCGAGCTCCTTGCACTTGGGATGATATCACGCATCGGATTAAAGTTACAACTCGTATCCCGTTAACAGAGTAGCAGCACGGAAATAAAAATACAATCACTTCAAATTGCTCAAATTACTGAATATATAACTTGATTATATAAGAAGCGAATAAATTATTCAAATCTTAACACTATTTTTAAATTATGATTCACTCCAGTCGAGTGATAAAACAGTAAAAAAGTATTTGGATCAGGGGTAAACCTAAGATTGAAAGAAGTCTGCGAGTATTTCAAATGTCACTTGAACTGGAATTAGAAAAAAGTACTTTGTCACTAACCTTAAATACATTTAGAAATTTAGCATTTTACTTTATGATAGTAGGCAACAAATCTCAGCAACTCTAGCACTATGAGTAACTTAACAGACGTCTTCATATTGTATCTCGGTATTTTAGTTACAGAAGCTGTTTGTGATAGCCATCAAAATGCTATATCGTAAATTTTGATATAATTTGTTCTCTCATTCAGTCTCTTCTACTGTGTGACAATCACAAATTTATAACGTTTTAAACTAAAATATATGTGTATTTTACCCAACATCATCATAAAAATAAAATGTTTATTAATATATAATGTAATATTTAATGAACAAACGCATTGGCAGCTGAAAAGAATGCTTTAATTTGCATACCAGGAACACCTATGCTTCCAATAAAACGTTGAGTTTTTAATTCTATCTTCAGTCTTTAAACATTTAAGAAAAATATTTAGAAAAACTTTAAAAAATTATTATACTTAATGTTTTTATTTATTTTCTGATGTGGATGAGGTTGAACAGAAAAATTTTAAATACATGTACAGTAGAGCGTCGTTTATCCAAATCAATTGGAGACTGGGGTTGTTCGGATAACTTATATTTCGGATAACCGACCATGTACGAAAAAATGTATTAATTTACCCTGTGTTGAAATTTTTTTCCGTTGCGTGTCGCTTCGCGTTGAATTTTCGTCGATGTTAAGCCTAACGAAAACTTTTAAAAATAATAATCGTGGCTATTGTATCGTTAAAAATTATTTCTTTATTTTTTACAAACAAAATAAAAATATAAAAACAAAAAAATTGTAATTTAGAAGTTAATCTAGTATCAAAAACGTTCGATTCAGCATGACACATAGTCCTCAGAAAAACACTACACAAAAGTGGCAGTGCTGCCAGCTAAAACACACACACCAACAAAAAAAGTATTGGAGGAGCCTAAGATATATCCAAAGATTGCAGCGCTACAGCACTAGCGGAAATTTAAATTTGCCGACTGGAATGCTTTCGGTTAACCGACGTTTCGGATAACCGGCTTTCGGATAAACGACGCTCTATTGTATATAATATAGAATTTATAAAAGTATAAAATATTTTCATTAGAGAATTTAGAGTACACGAAAATAATTCAATGATTTGTTCTTTCCTTTCTTCGTATTTTAATTGAATGTAGAGGTGTTTTATGAAACACCTAAAATCACTTTTACAAAAGCAAAGAAATACAACTGCTTAGATTATAATAATTGACAAATGTAAAAATTTTTGTAATTAAAAAATAATATTAAAACATTCACATTAAGACCGTTAAAAGACATTAAGATATAAGTGACAAGAGTAAAAACATTCAAGTTCTTCAGTTCGTTAAGTTGATATTTAACCTCATCCCAATCAGTTTTCTTTAAAATCCTGAAATAAAAACAAAAAAATAATTAAGATTATTTTCAGGGTGGTTCCATAATACCCGCAGTGTTCCATAATATCACCTTCTCCTCTATATGGTAATAAAATTATTTTAAAAACACGAAATATCCATATGTAAATTAAAATATTTAATCTAAAAATTTTTTAAATAATCGGAATTTATTTGTATTTATGGAAAAAAAACATTACCTCTAAAATGAATATGGAAAATTTTCAGGATTCGGAATGTGTTAATTCTCAAGTATAAACTTTCTCTACGCTACTTGTAGGCAAAATATCTTCCATTTGTTCACTTTTTCCAGGACTTCATTCTTATAGGTCTAGCTTCATTTTCAGTTTTAGTCTCTTTGCTTATTTTAAGACTAAGTTCTGTAAATACTCAAGTTTTGTATATTTATATCAGGAACTGACATTACGGCAGCTCAGATAGAGAAATTCGCCAAATTTTCGACTGCACGTTCACTTTTCCTAGCTCAAAGAAAGTAAAGAGTTTTATTGTGATTTCAGATGTTCTTGGAGTCCTGTGAAAAGTTTCTATTTTCTGTACAGACTGGAATGGACTTGAAGGTGATGTTCTTATTTTTGTATAGATTATGAAGGGGTTGTAGATGTTTCTTTTCTGCCATCCAATTTCGAGCTGATAGATGCTTCGTGTCTGTGACCTGACAATAATGCTCCAAGTACAGTACAACTGGAAGACCTATCAACTTTTGATTTTTGAGCTGTAATGTGACTGGAAGAAATGGAACTTTCCTTTTTTACAGTCAGCTTTACTCGACTAGTGATAGTAGCAACTGTTGAATTTTTAGACGAAGAACAAATAGATTTACTTTTACATTCTTGTTTAGAGATGGCAACTATTTCAAACTTATAACCACGTGTTAAAGGTTTAACAGTAAAAACGGATTCAAACTCAGATTCAGTTTAGTTAGTAGTAGAATTGTGTTGTCCACGACCGAATCCTAAGATTCTTGTTGTTGATGTTGCTTTATCGTAAACTACAGCAGGACCGTTAGTTAGAAATTTGTGTTCGAATTTTGATATAGAGCAAGGGTGAACAATTTCTTGCGCTTCAATTTTACCTGTTCTTGCTTTCTGTGATTCGTACATAGCCTCAGTCATTTCACTAGTGTTAGCTTTCCTCCGAGTGCGGTAAGTTAGGAAAGATAGGAAAATAAGGTAAGATTTTAGGAAGACTAAAAGTTCGCATTTTAGATTCTACAGCATCTGAGTGTATAGCACTAGTTTCAGTAGTATGTGTAATTACATCGACATCTCGTTTTTGTTCAGATTTTTCTCTCATTTCTTTCGAATTAAGTAAAGTTCTACTTGAGCATTTAATTATGTTAGGTGTTTGCTTACTAGTTTCCTCTCTCTTAATCTGTATACGTCCAGGGTAACTCAAACTTGAAATTTGACCTAAATTTTCGAGAAAGGAATAGTAAATTTTAGTAAATAATATAAACAAACATTTATATTTATAAAAAGCAAATGAAAATTTAAAAAAAATCATCTAATTTAAATCTATTCAGTCTTGTAAATAAAAATTCCAAAACAAAGTTAAAATTATTTATATAAAGCCTGTCATTCATAACTTTCTATATCTGTTTCAATTTTTGCACATTAGCATAATACTGTACTAAACTACAATGATCAAAACAATATGAAGTATTAAACTATATATAACTATCAGATGAATCCGGCGTAAAAAACAACTGCAAAAATTAAGTTTACTAGATTATTTCGTACTTCTATCTCTTTGTAAATAAAAATCAAATACTATAATATAACAAAGGTTATCTTACGTAAGAGTTTATCACACCAAGTGTCCAATTTAACGCATTTTAAAAATTCTTGAAATTGTGTACAGTAGAGGAATAAAGAATTTTAAAATGTGTTAGATTGGAGTTATTCGGTGTCCGTAAGATAATCTCCCTTACGTAAGATAATCTTTCTTATTACATAAATCAAATACAATAATATAAGAAACATTAAAGCGAAAACCATGTAAATAGTTTGGTAATTTCAGCCTATCATCGTCATATTTATCGCAATACTCGAATGGTACGTAATTGGTCAAATAGACATTAATTGAAACTGTCTTAAAAATTTTTAAATATATTAATCATATCATATGTTTTCCTAATGTTATCTATGAAATTGTGCCATTCATACCAAACGGTAATCTGCTAACCAAATCAAATTTTCGCGAAAAACGGACCAAATATTTAAACTCGGCACCATCGAAAACCGCTTAAAACATATTTTGTGCAAGCCGGTAACCTCGTATTATGTAATTTTCCTATCCGAATGCCACCATACTGCTAGGTACGATAGGAGAATTGTGGGGTTTCGGGAGCCATAAAGATTTATTACGTACTTTTTTGGGTGAGTCCTGCCACCAGGTGTGTTTTATCGGACACACCGCCGTTTGAGATGAAATGGATGATTAAGGCGCGAGGGTATAATTCACTCCGAAGTCCAGGAATGAACCTCTCAGGAGGAAGAATGCAGAGTCAGATATAATCCATTTAAGGACATTTATTAACATAAACGAAAGTTTAAAACAGAATTATAAAAGCCGATTTCGGAAATTTGCCTATTTTTATCTATACAACGAGGGGGTGCATAACGGGGAGGTATTCGAACTTACACGACTCACAACATACCCGTAAACATGATGTCTTCTCTTGTGACGTGGACTTGACGGCCAAGACTGCGGAGGTTTCTGGTGTTTGCTGCACTTAAGTCTTATGCTTGCTCGTTTTTGAGTCGTCCTTTCTTGAACCATTCTTGCTCTGGTGCTCATCTGGTTTCACTCTCTGGATCTCTGTCTCTCTGATTGTGACTGCGACTCCAACTCGTTCGCAACAACTCTTTCTGTGACAGGTCTGCAACTCAACTGCCTTTCTCTGGTTGGAGCTCTCCTTTTAAACCCTTACATCATGAGAAAGTTCATCATCGAGTGATGATTTATTGGCAGTGTCATCATTGTAGCTGAGGCAGTGTTTTCTTATGTGGTGATGACATCGAGCTTTTGTAGAGTCATCTCTGAGTTGACATGACTCATCTTTGCTCTTAGTCATTGTTTGTTTATTGATTGCTTTGACTGAGTTTTTTTGTAAACATTGCCGAAAACAAGGGGGGTGCAATATTCTCCATTTCTATATATATCGTTTATAATTTTTGATAATTTGGTTGCTCCTTCCTCTTTTCTTTTCAGCTATCAGAAATCTCATGTTGTGAGATTTCTGATAGTTGGATAATAAACCGTTTTATTCTAACTAATTTAAGTTGATATTAAAATTTAAAAAAGAGGGGTTCCCTAGATTGGTAAAATAGGCGAATTTCCTCTTACAACTTCGATTGTTATCCAAGATACTATTAAGGTTCACGCGAATACATAATTAAAAAGATATAAAGTAAATGAACAAAGATTAATACAAATAAGTTTATATATATATATAAACTTTTTGTAGGGAGAAGTGGTGGTCTTCACAGAATGGACTGTTGCATTTGGAGGGTGAAGTTAATTCGACCAAAAGTAGTCGTTAACTTCTCGGAAGAAAGAATGCTCAACGACTACTAATTAATACTGGTCTATATTAAAATTTGAAAAGTGATCAGTGTTACAGTTTGTGACGGCCCCGTATCAGATGAAATTTGCTAGCTTTAACTCCCGAAAGACTTGATATATAACGTCTTTACTGGTAAATAAAAAAATGTAATGTGAGAGAATAATTGCCTTTATTTAATGTAATAATCAAGTGTTTATATTTTGCAATACTACATGGGATGTATGTTCTCGTAAATATCGCGTTTATAGAAAAATTATTGAACTGTAATTTGAAAAACTGTAGATCTATAAATTTGCACTGTCCTCCCTCTGACTGTCTGTTCTTCCTTAATCTCGAGAAAGGAGTTAGATGAAATTCGAAACTTAATATAGAAAGCTTAAGGCAGGAAATCGGATTAACTTTACAGGAACTTCCGGTTTGTACCGGAAGTCACGTTACTTCCGAAAGTGACGTAGGCCTATATGATGCAGGCGAGGCCACTTCCAATCAAATCAATAATAAAAAAAATGATTAATGAAAGTTTCCTTTTTTACTTTTCCTAAAATATTTTAAAAGTTTATGCAAAATTGCCTTATCAAAAGCTATTTAATTAATAACTACACCAATATCAATACGAAGCAGTTAAGGCGTTAATCTAGCACGCTGAAACTACGAAACTGTGTGGCAACTTCCCAGGAAATTTATGGTACTCTTTGCTTAATTGAACACCAGTCATTTTTACTACTATTTTTAGTGAAATTGATATTCTATTTCGTAATTCTATGCTTAAAATTACAATAAAATACTGAACAATTATCAAAAAGAAATAAGCTTACTACAATTTGTATGTTTTGAGTCTGACATCAAGTTTCAGGGTCTACAACGTTTATACCTGTGGTTTACACACAAAATATTATACTTCCTTGTTTCACGTTATTTCGTGTATGTTTTAGCTCAATGGTCTTGCACGGTGACTAAAAACCACTCTTTCAAATCATGGCTAATTCTATCGAATACCCACTACTACGGAAGAACACGTCCGACATTTTGTTTTCTACATGTAAATCAATTTTCGTACATTTCGACTTTGTTTTACATCGAGTAAAGATATTAAAACATTAGTACAAATATAACGCATATAATCATTCCGATTAACAATCTTACTGGGAATGTTTCCTAACTCTTTATGTAAGATTCCAGTTTGTAGGAAGAAGCGAATCGAAATTTCTTAGTCATTTGACAATTGCCATATACCATGGGCGTAGCAAGGGGGGAGCCTGGGTGGGCACGGCCCCTCCCAGGGAACCTGGTGCCCCCCAGGAAATCACAGCCGAAAAAGTGTTGAGTCGATTTGTAAACACCTAAAGCTAAAATAAAAGTTTTGAATACTAAAAAAAAGGTGAACGGCTTGCTCGGTGCCCAATAATGAACAATAATTTGAAATAATTCAATTTTGTGTCAGGTTGGCCTCCACTAGGCCCCCCCATAAACAAAACTCTGGCTACGCCCATGCCATATACTAATATCTAGTTTAAATCGAATAACAACAAACTTACCAAAAGAAACAATTACAACGAACTTTGAGAAAAACGTTCTCAAAGTATCTAAGTTTGGAGTACAGTACATCACTACTAAAAAGTAACGTATTTTACATAAGCACATGATGTTGAATGATGCAACTGAAGCGCTATACTATGCAAAGGGTTGAAAAAATGAAATTTAAAATAAATGTTAATGTAAGTTTTAATATTATCTTAATTTCGACCTTATTACCAAATGACAAATAATAAATATGTATATGTATATTATACAACTAGAAGTTGAAATTTAACTTCTTGAATTATGCCAACACGAAAATATGCTAATCATTTTTGATATCAAACGTGTATTAACAATCATTGTTTAAATTAATAATCGCTTTTATAATAATTAAACAAAACTTTTATAACTTTAATACATACTTAAAAAGGTAGGGTTGCATTCTGATTAACGTTATATACAATTTAAATCTAAATTAAAGCAAATAGGATTTCATCTATTCACTGGTGTTCCGTTAAGCAAAGGGTACCAAATTTTTCACTATCGGTCTTCTCTGGATACGTTGCTTCCCATCTCTACGTTGCTCCACATACTAATGTGACCCTGCCTAACCCACGAAACTTTCAAAGACAATTATGGTACCCACAAAAGAGAAGAGTCAAAAATGGAAGAAAAAATAAATTTTAACAGAAGAAAAATGTTACAAAAATTAATTAAGTTCTCAATATTTTACAAAAATTAAAACATATTGAGCTTTTTTAACATGTGTAAACACAATCGACATTAAACCTATTATATTCCAGCAGATCAATAAAATGTCTCCATTACGTTCTACAAATTATAGAATATAGTGAAAGTTACACAATAAAACATTTATTAATCATAACATTAACATTATAATATAAGAACCCTACGTATCTTATTTTATATATAGAATAAAACTCACCAATATCTTTAGCTGAATACGACCTTCTCATATAAGTTGTAGGTTTTTCTGTTCGAAAACTTTCAAATCGACTTACTTGTTCCTTTACCGAATACGTTAAGTTTGGAATATCTAAAGATTTAGAAGCCATTTGCGTCAGAACAAAATTCCTATTGTTTTGTTTACGTCCTGATGTATTACCATTGTCAGAATTTTTCTTTTCTCCTTTATCAAATGTTGATTTCAGCTGTCCGTGTTCCATTTCAGATATTTAATACTATAATAAAAATTAACATTGTATTCCATACATTTTTGGAAGAAATTTACTTAGAAACAAAAGTATAGTTGAATGCAAGAGTACAGTTGGAGTAAGATTACTGTATAGAATAAATGTCCTCTATTTTGATGTCTAGAATGTCTTTCTCTATTCAGGCATTTCATAGTTTCCTTTTTAACACAATACGTCCTTTATTCATGATTTGTATTATAATAATTCTAAGTTGAAATGCCTAAACGAAAACTCTAACTGCACTCTTTCCATTCTATAATCTGTCTTTTTTTCAATAAACATACTTCATTATTCAATAAGAAAAACTAAGTTATATTTCTAAAAATTAAAATTCAAACTTACTATTTAATGATAAAAAATTTAATGATAAAAAATCTGTAATATTGCAACGAGAATGAATACTTTTCACATTAAACTTAAATGCTAATATCTATGAATGCTTATGCAATAAAATTATTTTCGTAAATATAAAAAAAATGTTTTTATTTTAAAATTAACTTTTTACGTCAATTCTTAATTTATTCATCAGCAGTATTACATTAATTCATACTTTTATTTTAAATAAATTATTTTACGTTTTAAATTTTTTATTATATAAACAAAAATTAATCATTTGCATAATTCAAAATCTAAGTTTTAATTGAATGAAAACAAAGTATAATTATTCTTTTATGAATCGATAATTTTTAAACTTCTGTACTATTTGATTTTAGAGTGACCATAAAGTTTTTATGCACGAAATTGTGTTTTAACGTGAAATGTGGACTTGAATCTGTTCGATTTTTTTGTTGTAGTAATTGTTAACAATAAATCATAACAAACTCCTTATTATTGATATATTTGAGATTATATTTCCGTAAAATATTATTATATACGATTATAAACAGATACCAAATTTTAACTGTCTTTTATAAATGTTAGCTTCTGTTACATATAATACGCAAAGCACACTTGTGTACTTACTTAAACCATGATCTAATAGAAAAAAAATCCAGCAAGAAGTTCCATAACTTTTTTGGGTGTTATGTGATTTCATTAAAAATATAACTTCTATATTTGTAAGGGTCGGACCGAATAAAATAAAATTAAACAACAAATTTAGAATTTCAGAACATTTATTTAAACAAAGAAACGCTTCATTTCTTTCATTTTCAAAATTTTTTGAAGGAGGATGTTAGCATTTTTTTTCCCCGGAGCCGTTTCATATCTCTGAGGAACACGAAAATGAATCACGTGGACTTATCAAAAAAATCGGCGATTGGCGAAAAACAGTAACGTGACGAAAGGTATAAAAGAGGGGTGACAACGGAAAAAGGGGGTCCGACATTGCCGTCAGCGTTCGGGTCCGTCATCTCCATACGTGAGAGTAATCCAGCATCGCTTGCCGTCGTCCTTAATTAAGAACAATACACTTTATTGTTCGTTCGGAAACGGACACACAGTTTCACAAATGGCGGGACAACGATTCAACAACTCTCCAGTCGCATGACCACTAATTTCCCTTTTGCTGTTGCGGGGAGCCCTCGTCGTCGCATCCCTCACATATACAAGATACCATATATAGTTGATCAATTCGGTTTGAACAAAGAGTATGTGGGTGTCACCATCAGAAATCTCAACAAAAGGCTTAAAGAGCATATGTACGACGTAAACAACGGACACTATTCTCAGCACTATCCAGAGTGGAGCAAACGGATGGTTCGGTGGTTGAATGGGCTGAGGCCAGAATTGTTACACCAGTGCATTCATCGACTGGCATTGAGTTTAGAAGAGTTTGAAATTTATAAATTCAACCTTACTAGCAAATGTTTAAATGTTTAAAGGATGCAACGGTGTTACCATCGGCACGGTAGTATATGATCAGGAAGGGCTCGTAAAATGTGATGCATAGCGCGCGGTCGATGTAATTATGTTATGTTAATATATTTGTATTTGTATTTTATTTTGTTCTACTCTATTTATTTTGATTCGTCAGTTTTATGTATTTATACGATTACAGTAGTTGTATTTTGTATATTTCGATTTTTTAACAAAATATTTGAACCGTTTCAAATTCGAATTTGTTATTGCATATCCATTCAAATATAGAACGATTGAAAACGTTTTAGAAAATTGGTAACCTGACGATGACCTGTTAGTGATGTTGAAAACGTTCGTTTACAGCAGTAAAACAGATTCTCAGAAATAAAGTTCATGTGTTTTATAATATTCAATAAGTCTGATTATATGTTGAAATCACTGACTATAATACAGGAATTAGAGTAGCCGATTTTCGGGGGAGAAAAAAATAAAATGATAAGCGGGTCATTCGAATCACAAAACATTATCGTATGCTACATTAAAGAAAAGTTTAATTTAACAAATCCTAGTCAAGTTATGGAAAATGAGTCAGGTCGAATAATTTTAGATAGAAGAGATGTAATCGAAATATCAAACGTTTTTCAATAAAAAATCGTTTATGGCTCAATGATCGGATAATTATCGAAAATGTCAATTTGCACAAACTAGTGCAAGCCGTGCGACAGCACAAAAGTGAATAATGGGCCGTCGAAAAAAGGATTTTTCGAAAACTGGACCGAGAGCAAAAATGAAAAAAGTTCAAGGAATCATTGATGATCGTAACTCGAATGAAATTACTTATGCTGCCGAGATAAAATTAACATTATCTAGAAAAAGAGAAGCAGGTGACATAGTAAAAAGTATTATGTAATCTCCAAAACCAGCGACGGCAGATTGAAAAAAACCATATAATCGATCATCAGTACAACACAATATGTATTATCCCGAGGAAGCTTTAATTACCTCCACGAAGTTAATTAAATCGCAATATATAATGTTACGGCAAAGTGCTATAAAAAAGGAGTTAATATTTATTCTTCTTACAACAGCATTAAGAAAGCTAAGAAAGCCCGTTATCCACCAGATGCTGCTACTACTATTACAGAAGATAAAACTGATATAAACTTTCAGCTTTAGTGGGCCTAATGACAGAAGGTCTTTTTATCACTATAACAGATGTATTAAAGAGAGTTTTAGAAGATAAATTAATTTGAAGAATATTACTAAGGTTTACAAATGGGGTTTGGACGGCAGTGGAGGAAGAGTCGATACAAGCTTCGGAAGCTTCGGAAGAAAATTTCGAAGACGCTAATATAATTACGACGTCGTCTTTGGTACATATACAAACTTTTGCTTACGACAAAAATGAAAAAAAAAATTTTATGGCAAAATTTTAGACCTAGTTCTACCAGATATTGAAGACGAATTCATTTTCGCTTCGTAAAAGAAACCGACGAGGAAAGTCTGTATGAATTTATTCGCATCAAAAACCAAATTTGTGAGATACAAAGTACCAGAATTATATATAATAATTTTACTTTAAAGGTAAATCCCGAATTTATCGAAACCATAGTCGTTACTAAGGTCTGTAATGCTTTATCATCAAATAAACAGACTCAAAAATATTACGTACGTAATGACACATCCAGCCAAATAAACGATCTACCTAACATTAAACTGAGACAATGTAATGAAGAAACTTTTTCATTTGGTCTATCGACTCTTCGTTGTCAAATAAGATTCGTGGAATGCATTCTTCAAGTAGCGTATCGAATGGATATTAAAAAGTAGCAAGTGTGCAAGAAAAGTAGCAAGTGTGCGAAGAGAAAGAATCAGTCTCAACAAAAAAGAAAATTATTAATGTCGAGAAATGACTTAATGACGTGTAATCCAAAACCAATATAGAAAAGTTCGGGGAAGCAGGCACTGATTAATATACGAACTTCCGATGCAAACCGGAAGTCACGTTATTTCAATTCGAAAATTTTCTCCTGAAAGGGTGATCGGCAAGACTATTGCTAACGGAAAAGTATGTCGTACAGGGGCAAGACTACTAATATGAGGTTGAGAGCATATATTTGAAATTAAACAAATAATAAATAGCCTATGATTAAAATTACAGCCCGGAATTATGACAATGCCACAATAAATAATAGTTCGTTACCATTAGCCTATTATTTCTAAATTTTCTTCATATTTATTTCTCACATGAGTAGTAGTAGTTTGGGCCATACTGATCACAAAATTAATTTCAGATTGTATTGATGATAAAAATTGAAAAAATTCGTTTTGGTGTTATATTATTTTATACAATTATTGTAATTTTAATTTATTCGATAGTAATTTACTCAAAACATTAATTTTGTGATCTGAAATAATTCTATTCAACAAATTTTTATTTGCAATTTTAATTTAATCAACATCTGAAATTAATTTTGTGATCAGTATGGCCCAAACCACTACTACTCACATGTGGTGGCAATGTGAAATTTAAAACGTAACAAACACGATCGCACGAGGAAATTGTCTACAGTATTAACAATTCAAAACATAAAACGCTGGGAATGTGCTACAGCATTTCCATATCAAATTGCCCTTTTCGTTCATGCTCAGTAACGTCTTAAGCATATTCTCTTGTAAGGAAATAGTATATAAAATACGTGAAAAATGTGAAAAAAACGTTTTGTTTAACGATGTAAAAGAATTAAATCTACAGAGGCTTGTTTTCGCTAAACAAGGAATGACGTCACAATTTTATATCTCGTTTTATACGCTCTAAGTGTCAAGAATAATAATACCAATACTGTGGTAAAATAATAAAACAATAATGTTACACATAAAAAAAGCTAAACTAAAGTTCTGATGGTTCGAATTTTTCTAATTATAGTCCCTAGTGTCTTATCTATTGCTGCTCAGAGACACGAAACTTCCAAAGACATAAGGTAAACACTCAATTTTTGTAAACGCTTGAAAAGTGAATCCTATTATTTACACAAGGAAGCTGTTTGTGTTTAAGGCTACATGCTCATCACAATTCGTTCTAATCGGAGATCCAAACATCTGGCCCTCTCCTTGTTAGCAATAAGAATCATTTCTGAATAATTTTTTAATGAATAATTGCGAATAACACATTTGATCATAATGTTTAAACAGTATTTCACATGTTCTATAATGTCAAAATTTTTGTTTTAGTTTACTGAAAAAGATCAAAGTTAATAATAATATATAAATAAAGTTAATAAAAAACAGTTAATAAAAAAATCCCACTCTTTAAACGCTGGAAGATTTTGTTTTTCCTACGAACCACCAATCATAGATTTGTTGTGCACAGCTAAGCAAAACATCATAAAAGAAATAGACAGAGGTAATGTTTCTACCACTTCAATAAAAGTGG